GCCAAGCACTCAGGAGGAACCAAATGCCGCACAGCTCCTGCGTGTCCCTCGGGAGCAGTGACCGCAGAGGTTCTTGGTGTTTGTGGGTGGTCACGAGAGGATGCGGACCCTTGATTGGTCTCAGTAACGTGAAGTGCATGGGTCTTATCTGGGTGGAATAATCCTAAAAACAATTTTGAGCCACAGTGTCTTCATTTCTATAGTGAGGATAGTTAGCCAGCCTCACGGAGCTGAGGTGAGAGTGAACTGACATGCATGCGAAATGCTGAGAATGGGGCCCAGAATATAAGTGATGGTTACCAGCATGGTCACCATCATCAACTTACCACCACCATCACCACCTTTACCACCACCATCATCTCCATCATCAACCTCTACCACCATCACCTCGTGATGCGTTACCAGCATGGTCACCATCATCAACTTTACCACCACCATCACCACCTTTACCACCACCATCATCTCCATCATCACCTCTACCACCATCACCTCCATCATCACCTCCACCATCATCACCTCCACCACCATCACCTCCATCATCACCTCTACCACCATCACCACCATCCTCACCTCCACCATCATCATCACCACCATCCTCACCTCCACCATCATCATCACCACCATCATCACCTCCACCACCATCACCACCATCACCTCCACCACCATCACCACCATTATCACCTCCACCACCATCATCACCTCCACCACCATCACCACCATCATCACCTCCACCATCACCACCACCACCATCACCACCATCATCACCTCCACCACCACCACCTTCACCACCATCACCACCGTCATCACCTCCACCACCACCACCTTCACCACCATCACCACCATCACCTCCACCACCATCACCTCCACCACCAACACCTTCACCACCATCACCATCATCATCACCTCCACCATCACCATCACTCCACCATCATCATCACCTCCACCACCATCACCACCACCATCACCTCCACCACCATCACCACCACCATCACCTCCACCACCACCACCATCATCACCTCCACCACCATCACCACCACCACCACCACCACCATCATCACCTCCATCACCACCATCACCACCATCATCACCTCCACCACCACCACCTTCACCATCACCACCATCACCTCCACCACCATCATCACCTCCACCACCAACACCTTCACCACCATCACCATCATCACCACCTCCACCACCATCACCACCATCAACACCTCCACCACCACCACCTTCACCACCATCACCACCCTCATCACCTCCACCACCAACACCTTCACCACCATCACCATATCATCACCTCCACCATCATCATCACCATCATCACTCCACCACCATCATCACCTCCACCACCATCACCACCATCATCACCTCTACCATCATCACCTTCACCACCATCACCACCATCACCACCATCATCACCTCCACCACTAACACCTTCACCATCAGCATCACCTTTATCATCATCATCACTATCGTCACCTTCACCATCATCACTATCACCAATATCACTATTTTTCTCCTCCTGGCACAGATGACTCTGAGCTAGGAGTCAGGTACAGCAGTAGAGAATACAGGGAATGTTCTGGCTCATCCATTTCTTTTGGGACCTGATCCTAATACTGCTTGTACTGGAAGATAAGTTCCTTTCCTATCTTCCTCTTCCTCTGAGTGGACGAAGGACGTGTTCTATGAAGTAATCTTCCTGTTATGACTCTCCATTCTTTTTCTCTTGACTTCTTAGAATCAAGTAGTAATCACAGAACACAGCACTGGACCACTGTTTTGCCAACAAGTCGACTTTAGGGTATTATTCCAAGAGATGCTAGTTGGGGGTCAGCGCAGCAAAAAGGAGACTGGTATTTTGGGAACACCACATTCTTTCTCCCATTCTTGTGGATCCAGAAAGCACATTAGTGTGGGGAGATTCTTCAGGGACTGGTTCAGTGTTGCTCAAATCCCATAACTCTATGAAGTTAGGACAGAAAAATGGTGGACCTGAGAAATGCTGCCTAAAACTTTCTGGAATTGCTGGCCTGACAGCCCAACTTTACAGTATGTTTCTGCATAGTAACCTATGGCTGGATTACAGTTATCCACAACTGAAATGAATGGAGGAGTCAGGAGGGGACAGTGCAAACATAGCTTGGTCCAGTTGTTATCAGGAGAGATCAGGATAGTTTTTGTTGTAGTTCTAATCTGGAAGAACAAGAAGAACTCTGGTCCATCTTTGCCTGGTGCCATGTGAGCTCAGGACTCTGCCATGATTGCAAGGACTGTAACTGGAGAGCCACTGGGCTGCTGGGAGCTCAGCAGACTTCTGTCCTGCTCCTCATCAGTCCCCTCTTCTCTATGCTATACTGAGATACAGGTACATACAGTTAATCTTATTTTTACTTTTGCCTATTTTTTTGAGGAACTTTATACAACCTGCTGGATTATTTGGGAAATATTCTGGCTGGGGATGCTCAAGCACCAGAGTATGAAAATCACTCCTCTATTCTTGTTCATTGATGCAAGAATGTCAAATTCATGCAGCTTCCCTGGAGAGCAATTTGTCAAGTAGTGTCAACAATCTTCAAAATATTGGGCTCTTCCGGTGTGTCCAGGGAGTTCCTCTTTCTCCCTCAATACTTTCTAAGTGATACCAAGAACACCTATGGTTTTAGCCACCCATCCATCTACCCATCCATCCATCCATCCATCCACAGTCTATCCATCCATCCATTCATTCACCCATCCACAATCCACCCCTCCACCATCCATCTATCCACCCATCCATCCACCTGTTCATCCATCCATCTATAATTCATTGATCCATCGTCCATTCATAATCCATCCATTCACCCACCCACAATCCATCCATCCATCGATCCATCCATCCACCATCTACAATCCATTCATTCATTCACCCATCCACAATCATCCATCCATCACCATCCACCCTACAAACATCTGTGAAGCACCCTCAATGTGGCATATGCTCTCCTGAGTGCTGGGATACATCACTCTTCTCTATTTCCAGGGAAGGCATACAGGTGGTGGCTGCGGGGCCTCATCCAACATGCCTTACTCTGGACTTCAGTGAGGGAACCACATCTGTCGTTTTTCATAAGCAAGGAACCTAGAAGTTATGCAAACCTCTTTCTGTCTGCTACTTCCCTTTCAACCACATCCAGTTCCCCCTAAAGGCCTCAGAGTCTTCCCTTTCTCCATCCCCACCGTCACCCCTTAATAACAGCCCCTGCTTGGGCTCCTACGCTCTCGGCCGGCCACCCTCCAGTATGTTTTCGACTTGCAACCAAAATGATGGTCTTACAATGCAAATCTGCCCCATCAGTTCCTTTCTGAAAACCTTTCATTGGTTTCTTGCTGCTCTTAGGACAGAGCAGAGCACACGCCCAGGGACATGGGCCCTGATATGCACAGCCCCAACTGACCTCCCTCACCAGCCTGCCTCACTCTCCAATTTCTTTTGTCCTTGTGCTCTTCATTCCCCTTTCCTCCACGGCCCCCCATGCTCCTCTGTCCACCTAGAATGTTCTCCCCTACTTTGGCAAACAACTCCCAGGCTCTACAGGAGCCCTGCACTTTCTCGTGGCAATTGTAACCACTGAAGTTTATATTTACTTTAATGATTTTTTTCCATGAATACCCATCCCATCTGTCCCCTGAGACCATAAGCTACATGGGAGACAAGACAGTGCCTATTGTCCTTAATATTTTATTAGGAAAAGTTTCAAACATAAAACTGGGAGAATTTTACAGGGCCTATCCATATCCCCACAGCCTGGATTCTACCCGTATGTGACTCCTCTGCATCTGTGCCCTGCTCAGCGCCTGCCATCTGGCTAGCAGGCACCTTTGCTGAAGGACGGTGGCCCAGGCCCTCCACCACTAGGATCATGGGAAGAAGATGAGCACATCTATGCAGAGCACTGTTCTTCTCAGCACGGTTTATGAGGGCAGAAGATTGGGAGCAGTCCAAATAAATGACAGCGCCTCCCACACCAGCGTGTCCCCCGCCACTGCTGACAGTGGGAATATGATTGGTGCTTGTTGACACAGAAGGCCTCCCTGATGATATGCCATTAGCAACAGGAAAAGTGGATGTAACAGGACACTCTTTCTTGTGGAATTAAAAACGAGTGTAGGCAATTCCTGTTCTGTGACTTTTACAGAGATCAATGCTTTTAAACCTCCCTACGACTCTTAAGCGGGGACTCCTTACTATCCCCACTTTGCTAATGAGGATACTGAGGCTCAGAAAGGGTAAATAAGTTGCCTGGAGTCACACAGCTATTTCCAGGGGGAAATGCCATGGAAGGTACGCAGTATCACAACAGTTACTGCTGAGAGAGAGGAACCGGATAATTTTGATTTAAACTTCTTTTTGCTTCTGTCACTTTTCGTTTTTGTCAGCTATCTGACCCATTTCTGTATTTATTTATTTTTTGTGGTACTGGGGACTGAAATCAGGGCCTCTCTCACCTGAACCACCTGCTCCCCTCTCCCTGTAGTCCTTTCGATTTTTCCATTTGTCAGATAGGGTCTCTCACTAACTTTGCCCAGCCTGGTCTTAAACCTCAATCTTCCTGTCTCCCTCTCCCAAGTAGCTGGGATTATAGACACGCACAACCACACCTGGCCTGTGTATCTTTTTTTCTTTGTGGTACTGGGGTTTGAACTCAGGGCCTTCACCTTGAGTCACTCCACCAGCCCTTTTTTTGTGGAGGGTTTTTTGAGATAGAGTCTTGCAAACTATTTGCTGGGGTTGGCTTTGAACCACGATCCTCCTGATCTCTGCCTCCTGAGTAGCTATAGGATTACAGGTGTGAGCCACTGGCGCCCGGCATTTTTTTTTTTTTTTAAAGAAAGTCACTTCCCAAGCCAAGTAAGCCTGGAGAAGGGGACACTTGGTGGCATACCCATGAAGCCTTCTCAGCAAATACTTCATCTTGAGAAGATTCATGGCAACATGTTAGAGTCAGTCAAACACAAGTCCGCTAGAAGAAAAGTCGGTCACCTTTGTCAGAGCCCGAGAGCTGGATGCCAAGGTCCCTGAGGAGCTTCTCTACTTCCTCCAGCCAGGACAGTGAGAGGCTCAGGATGCCCAGTGTCACCTTCTGCAGCCCTGACACAGACGGGCTCACCTGAAGGTGCTGAAGGAGGCTGACCTCGCGCTTCAGCTCGCTACTGCAGCAAGATTTTCTCATGCAAGCCTGAAATCAGACAGGGGTGTGAGGAGCCGGGGCCCTGCAGCCAGAAGCAGCACCAGCCATGACCCGCAAGGGGTGAGGCTCTGGCATGGAGCAGACAGGGAGGGCTGCCCGCCAGTGGCCCGGGGATGGCCCATTTTTTTTTTTGACTTTTTGGGGGCACCTTTTACTTTCATTGGACTTTTGAAAATCAGAGGAAACTCCCTTTTAGCTATGTGCAATCCCAAAGCCAAATTACTGGTGATAATGTGGCTGAAATGTGATCTGAATTTAGCAACTTGCATTCATAAAAATTCCTGCTGAGATCAACGCACAAGCTGGTTAGAAAGTGCGGTTTCCTGATTTTTCTGAAAGACTGCTGACAAGCCAGCATTTGCACAAACTCCCCAAATAGTAGCTGCTGATCTCAAGAGAAAGCAGAAGCAGCTGCTTGTGCCACAAGCTCAGGCAGGACCACGGTGCCCTGGGCCGCTGGGCTTGGCTCCTCCAAAGGAGGACACAGCTTTCGATGCTGGACCAAAAAAGAAAGGCAACCAACGAGCCAGAACATTCCTTTGACTTCTCTGGAAATAACATGGGAGGTATTTAAAAAAAAATTCTGGGACTGGGGGCCTCTCAAAGTCAGCACAGTTATCCGTGGGTATCTGTAAGGGTCCATGGTAGATGTCCAAATCGGAGGATGGTCAAGTTCCAGTATTTGCATATAGTCTTCTGTCCCTTATTATTTGTACCTAACATTCTGCCTTAGGGGCTGGGACGTGGCTCAAATGGTAGAGCTCCTGCCTAGCACACATGAGGTTCTGAGTTAAAACCCTGATATTGCCAAAAATAAAAAACAAAACAAAAAAACAGAAACCGTCCTGTACACTTTAAGTCATCCGAAGACAACTTAGAATACTCAACACAGTGGAAATGCTATTCAAATAAGTTGTTCTTCTGTATCGCTTAGGAAATAATGACAAGAAAAGAGTCTGAGGCCGGGGGTACAGCTCAGTGGTAGGGGGCTTGCCTAGCATGTGCAAGACCCTGGGTTGGATCCCCAGAACTGCAAAACAAACAAACAATAAATAAATAAAATAAAAAAGCCCCTCAAACTACTTGTTTGACACATGGCTGATACTTTGTATGGTTTCCAAAAAAAAGAAAAAGAAAAAATTTTGTACACGTTCAGTATGGATGAGATACAATGCTTTTGATCCACACTTGGCTGGAATGGTGGATCCAGAGGGTGACTGTACGTGGCGATGCTCACCCATCTTTCCTTGGCCATGTCGGCTTCACCTGGAAGGCACTTTTGAGATCCCCAGTTTTCCATTCTCCAACAAGAGAAAAGGAGGATAGAGAAGCAGAGCATTTCTGCCCCTCCTACCCTGAAAGCAGGACAGTTTCCCAAACAATCAGCACAGACACTAGACAAGGGGCCACCTGGCAGCCGTCCAGCAGTGTCTTCAGCCTCTCCATGCTCCCCGATGCCTCCTCCTGCTTGGAGTTGCTGAGCTGTGTCTCCTTCTGCAGGCTCCACTTTCTCTGCTGGAAGTTGAGGTTGTCCTCGGTGACCTGGAGGATCTTCTCTATCAGCTGGTGAGAAGAGGAAAAAGAGAGAGGGTGTCAAACACAGAGTGGCTCTGGGCGACAGCAAACAGGCGGGTCACAACTTAAGTGACCTGCCCAGCAGGGGAGGAGAAGGATCCTGACACGTTGGATCTGAAAGCGACCCGAGGTTCTGTCACCAGGACACATTGCCCACGTTTAGAGGTTATTCGTAGGACCCAAAACTGGTACTGTTGCTCTGAGTTTGTTCCAGATCCTTCTGTATTTGTAACAGTCACTCATGACACCGAGCCGTATGCTCTGGGTGCATAAACAGGTCATGTCCTGCCCCTGGTGAGAGCAGCCCATGTGTTTTCTGCTTGGACAGAGGGCTGGAAAGGGTCGTGGGAGATTCGCGAGGCAAGCGTCCTCACCGTCTATGCTACCTTCTTCTCTAGAAGGAAGGAGCCATGGCGTATGGGCCAGGTGAGGCCACCCTTTTGCTCACATGGCTAATGAAGCTTCAGCGTGATGGTCTGGGGACCAGGCGTGAGCCTGCATGGCTGATTTCCACAAGAACAGTTCAAGGGAGTTTAACTGGCTTTTCCTTTAAAAGCCAGGAAATCCCATAAAATCAAAACAAATCTTTATGATGTAGCAACAGTGTGAAAAATATGTGCCACCAACAAAAACAGAAACATATGCTCCCAGGGTCTGGCGTTCAGATTCCCAAAGAAGGAAGAGAAGGAGTTGCAAGAGAGGGGCTCACAAACCTGCTGGTCGGTGACGGGCTTGTCCTGGAATGGCTTGGTTCGTCCGAAGATGGCTTTGATGACCTGGTTTCTGAAATGTTCCAGCTGTGGCACAAAATGGGCAACAGATCAGTGGTGGGGGCTAAAGGCAAATGCTGGGGATGGCATTTCCATCACAGGGTCCAGAAACTGTCCCCTCTCAAGAGCCTGCCTGGTCATTCCATGTTATCAAGACCTCTGTACACCTCAGAAGGAAGAACAGAGGGCTTTAATTACTCTTTAGGCAGGCCTGCCCAGTCCAACTCAGGCCTGTGGCCTGTGTGTACACGTCTCAGGCCCTCAAAAGAGCCACTGGCTGCCAATAGGCAATGGAAAGTCCGGGGCAAGGAGCGCTCTTTTGTAATTGCTAAGTTGGCACAAGAGTGTAAAATAAATATTGAGGCTGTCAGCCCAAGTCAATTGTGCAATCAGCAAGGTGCCTGAGGAGAGGAGAAAGGAGCTCTCCTGTCATTTTGTGCCTTAGACCCTCAGCGTCCCAAAGACTCTGTCCACGGAGCTCTCCTGTCATTTTGTGCCTTAGACCCTCAGCGTCCCAAAGACTCTGTCCACCACATTTGTGTCTGCATCCCTGGAGCCTGGCTCAGTGCTTGGCATGGAGTAGGCACTCAGCGAGCATTTGCTGAACACCTGGACACAGAAACGCCCATCAAGGTCAGGGTCCTTGGTTTCAGTTCCTCAGCTGGTGTCCCGCGTCTTCTGTGTGCTGTGCTTTCAGATTAAGGTAGATGGAGCCACACAGTGACAAAGTCAAGGTTTACAGAATCACACATCCAAGGTGTCCTGGACTCCATCAGGCAGAGGCAAAGAAGCCCGGCTTTCTCTGAGAATTCATCCCCTGGCAGCCCTTGGCCTCTATCTGTGGTCCACTGCAAAAATATGGCCATTAGAGGCTCTAATGTAGAGCCTTGAAAGGATCCAAAGGACCAACAAGTCAGCTTAAAGCCTAGGGGTCCTAGGACGCAGAAATCTACAACACATGGGAAGTCTGGGAAACCCAGTAGGGAAATGGTGATGGTCCCACGGCCACCCTGCCAGATCAGGGTGGCAGAAAGCACTCCATGCTCTTCTCAGGTTTCCTGGCCAAGGGAGGGACCCGACTTGCACAGGAGCTGGTTATGTAGGGGAACCCTGTGTGCAATGGTCTCCCAAGGCCCCTGGAAGCTCCCTATGGGAACACTTGCCCAGGGTGGGAGGAACAGGTGCTGGGGCTGTGAGTTTGGTCCTGGAGTCACTCGCTGAGGATTGGGAAGAATGTCAGACTGGGGCAGGGCCTTGGAGGTAAGGGGGTGAGCAGGAAGACCCTGGCTAGTGGAGAAAGGGTTAGGCTTTGCGCTTTTGAGTGGTACTGGAGAAATCTCAGGGTCCTCTGGGGACCTTTACCCAGAGCTATAGGAGGACCTTGGCCCTTGGGTGAGGCCATGCTCCCAAATCAGTGTGTGTTGGGGGTGCCGAGGGGCAGCCAGGTGCACACACTGGCAAGGCTCTGGGTCCTTGACTGCTTCAGGAGATGTGATGTGGCGGGGAGGGATGGAGGGAGGGGGTGTCCGTGTGACAGTGGTGGGCATCTGTTGAAGGGGCTTTAACACCTCTCCAACAGTTAGCATCATTATCTAACTTGTGTGTGCCCCTGGGGTGTTGGTGTGGGGACAGAGCCCTGGTCACACTCCTGGTTGAGGCTTGGACAGTACAACTGGAAGGGCTTTGGATGTTGTGCTGGTGGGATGAGATCGTTTAAGAATTGAAGGCATGGTTTAAATGCTGAAGCGCCTACCTAGCAAGCATGAAGCCCTGAGTACCACCCCAAGTACTCAGCAAACCTCAGTACCACCAAAAAAGAAAGAAAGAAAGAAAGGAAAAAAAAATTATGGTTCTTAACCTTTTTTGGTGGTTCACAGCCCCTTTGAAAATCCCACGAGTGATACGGTGGACTCCCCCTCAGAAACAACAGCACGCGCACGCACACACACACACACACACACACACACACACACACAGAGTGTGCTGTACACCCTAGGGACTGCCGATGCCCAGAGGGGACCCCTTGCAGGGTCCAAAGCAGGCTTCCTTGGCAGGCCGTGCTCTGCAGGGTTACAGAGTCCTTTGGGCTTCTCTCGCATTTGTCCCCCTGAACCTTTGCTAAAGCCTGGCATGTTCTGGCCCTCACGACTGTGCTCCCTGTAGCTGGCCTGCTGGCCTTCTTGGACCAGGGCATCAGAGAAATAGTGGCTCCCACCCAGCCAGATCGGGGCCTGCTTGCCACCCTTCCAGAGCCTTCTCCATCTAGCATGGACTTTGGACACTTGGGTTTACCTTAGTAAGAAAAGAAGCATTTCTCTATGGACACTGACTGTGACATCTGCTGGGGGCCCAGGGGAGGAAAGACTCAACGTTGGGGAGAAAGTTCTAGAACCACTCTGAGGTCAGAGTCCTGGAGCAAGGCATGAGGCAGGACTGGCTGACAGGCCAGAATCTTGGTTCAAAATCCACTATGGGAGCGGGAGTTTCCCAGCAGGGGAACATCCACCAGGGTGAGGGGCACAGAGGCCTCTGGCAATGGAGGACAAACTGGTCCATCTTCCTCCCTCTTCCTCTCTCACCCCCACTGGCCTCCTGGGTATGGGGGACTGCTGGGGACATGGGCCAGTGAGGGGGGCTCTGGAGCGTGCCTACCTGACCTACTGCCCTTTCCAGATTGATTTTAATGAGGCTCTCTCTGTTGCCCATTTCTTGCAGCTGAAGCAATTTCCTTCTGGAATCCTCCTGAAGTTTCTCTTCAACCTGAAATGATGACGGAAATGTGCTGCTGCTGATGCGGTCACAGTGCACCCTGGGGAGTGCCTCTAGGACAGCTAATGGCCGTGGGGGTCCCAAAGGGGTAGGGACAGCTGCAGCCTGTGTGGCAGGGGTCACAGTCATGGGGGGAAGCTGAGCAGGTGCCGTCCTCTGAGCAAAGGGCCAGGCTCTGCTCCCTGGGTTCAACCATGTTCGGTCCACCCCAGGCTCCTCTAACAAGTCGTGTGACCTCAGGAACGTCTCTTCACTGCTCCTCATTTGTTGAATGGGGACAGGGATGTTTGGAACGGTGCCAGCACTTCACAAGAGCCCTGCAAGGTGTTAGGCTTGGTGGCTGTCACCTATGAAAGGCAGGTGGGAATATCTACTGCAGATCACTCAAACACAGACGTGACCTGCCCACAGGGAACTTGGTAAGTGTTAGTTATCGGGTCACCATCATGACTGTTTGTCATTACTGCTTGTGGCACACTCATCAGTGGAAACTACTCTGGGAGGCGTGCCCGGTAATGATTATTAAAGAATTGTGGCCTGCCAGGTGTTTAAACCTGCCTGTTAAGCCCCTCGACTGGGCAGTAACTGTCACCCTGCAGCGAGCCTGGGAGGGTTCGATGCTGCCCTCTGCTGGCCAGTGTGGGGTCCCACAGCCTCTCCATTCACTTTTGAACAATAAATATTTTTGAGCGTCCGGCTCCACAGGAAGTGAGGCAAACTGTCTTAAGTGAAAAGATTCGGGGGCTGGAGAGGGGATGTGCATATGTAACAAAAAGACAAGAAAAGTCTGTTTGAGCTTCCTTCTGAGCAGTGTGGGACAATGAAGGGCCTCTAGCAAGTGGTGTCACCTTGTAAAGCCAGCCCAGCAATTGGGTTTTGGCTCTCTCTTGCACAGTCGTGAAAGGACTAAGCATGCCCTCCCTTCTGTTTCTCTTTCTTTCCTTTTTTTTGTGGGTTTCGAACTCAGGGCTTCGTGCTTGCAAAGCAGGGCCTCTATCACTTGAGCCACACCTCTACTCCATTTTGGTTTTTTTATTTTGGAGATGGGGGTCTTGCAAACCATTTGCCTGGGCTGGCTTCAAACCATGGTCCTCCTGATTTCAGTCTCCCAAGTAGCTAGGATTACAGGTGTGAGACACGGGTGCCTGGCTCCTCACTTCTATCCCTGGCCTTTGATGTGTCTGTGGGATCTGGTTCGATGGCCATTGGCCATGTGAAATGTGGTGAGAGGACACTGGGGTTTAAATTTTCCTTCTTGCTTGATTTAAAAGAAAGTTTTTAAAATAAAAATATGGAGAAATGAATTCTAAATGTTACTTAATGTCAATTTCAACAGTCACGTGTGGTCCTTGGTTGTGCCACGGAAGTAAGTCAGACAAACCTGGCTTTAGCTCTGCTCCTTACTGACTCTGAACCTTCACCTCAGCCCTGCCTCCCTCATCTGTGAAATGGGCGTGGTAGTTTCTAGATCACAGAGTTGGCATGAAGCTGACGAGATAAAAGTTTGGCATACTGCCGAGCATGTGAAAACTTGCAGCTATAACCTTCAACTTTCTAATTAATCACAGATGGAATCATATCACTCCCCTGTTCAAAGGCCTCCAGTGGCTCCCAGTACACAGGCCAAGCCCCAAAATGAGTGCAAAACACTGTGCCAAAGATTTGATACGCCCATATGAATTCCATACAAGATAAATAAAAGTGAATGTACACCAGAAAAATCATAATAAAACTGTTGGAGTTGAAGGAAAAGAAAATCTTAAAAGCAGCCAGAGAAAAGACAGAGGGTCCAGGGACGCAAGTGTTAGGCCTACAGCTTATTCTCAGTAGAAGCAATGCAAACCGGGAGACAACAGAACCGAGCACTTTACACACAACGCAGAAGTGAACATGCAGCCAAAATACGTTTCCAAGAATGAAGGTTAAAACAGACATCTTCACACTCACACACACTTAAGGATTTGTCATCAGCAGAGCCACACTGAAGGAAAACCCTAAAGGAAAATTTGTGTGTGTGTGGTACTGGGGTTTGAACTCAGGGCTTCACACTTGCTAGGCAGTTGCTCTACCACTTGAGCCTCTCCACCAACACTTTTTGCTTTACTTATTTTTCAGACACGGTCTCACGTTTTTTTCTGGACTGGTCTGAGCCATAATCTTCTACCTATAGCCTTCTATATAGCTTGGACTTACAGATGTGTGCCACCCCTCCTAGCTTGTTGATTGAGATGGAGTCTTGCTAACTTTTTGTTCAGGCTGGCCTCAAACTGCAATCCTGTTAACCACTGCTCCTGAGTAGCTGGGTTTACAGGTATGAACCACTGTGCCTGACTAAAGGATGTTCTTTAGGCAGAAAAAAATGATCTCAGATGGATGATCAGAGATACAGAAAAGGTGCAAATGATGTGTGCATGTAGACATGGACCGTACAAAAATGGACAACATCCTTCGGGTTTCAGTATAGAGAGACATTTAGAAGATGATGATAATGACACAAAGTGTGTGTGGGATGGTCAAAGTTAAAGTGTCAGTGCCTAAGGTCACTGTGTCGTGGAGGAGGAGGCAAAACCGTGAGTGCCTCTTGTGCTTGGTAAGGTAAGAATGAGATCTTTAGGACAAATATTAAAAGAATAGTAAAAGTAAAAAAGTGAAAAGACTCACCTCAAGAAGGCAAGAATGGAGAGGAAAAGGAGCAGGTGGTATAGCTGGCACTGGGTAAGAGGTGAATTTAAACCTAGCACACCAGCAATTCTGTGCAAATGGGCTGAAAGTCAAAGATCATTAAACTGGATTTTATAGAAACCACATGCTGCTAGCAAGCGCTATATGTAAACCTAAATAAAGAGTGACAGGAAAACATGAAACTCATAAAACGAAAGCTAGTGTAGTGATGGAGCTATATTAATAGCAGTGGACCTTCATGGGGAAACACCCCGAGAGGAGAGTGGCTCATGATGGCCAAAAGCTTGATTCAGTAGGAAGTATGAAATGATAAAATTATATGCACCCAGCAACATAGCCTCAAAACATATAAAGCAAAAATTGGCAAAACTAGGAAATAGTCATGACGGAGTTCTGTGGTTTTAAACATGCCACTCTCGATGACTGACAAACTCGATGGGAGCATGCAGGCTTTGAAGTCACTGACAAGCTTAACCTAAAGGCCACGTCTAGAATGCAGTGCCTGCTGACTTCGGAAGGTGTACTCATTTCAAGTGCACACATGGACCCAGCACTGACCACGTGCAGGTCACAAAGCAAGTCTTAATCAAATAATACCACAGGACTGAAACCACACGGAGGACATTCTCTGGCCCCAGTGTAATTAAGCTAGGCACCAATAACCAAAGAGTGACCAGAAAGTCCTCCGATACTTCAAAATCAAGAAATAACTTCAATAACGCCCAAGCCAAAGAAGAAACCACACGGGAAGTGGAGGGAATTTCTACCTGAATAATAATTTTACTACGCACTAAAATGTGTGAAGTGTTGTTTAGAGGGAAGTTTATAGCCCAGAGAGGAGTTTGATTCCATTTCATGCTTACAGTTATTTTCATGAAAAAGGAGCCAGAGTAAATTCATTTTCCTTGAGTAATCTCTGCAGAGAGAGATTTAAAAGCCAGAGGTGGAGCAGGTTTCCAAATATTTCCATTTTCATGAGATTGTGAGATTGTTTTTACTCGATCGAGTCTCTTCTCAAAACAGGTTTTCATTTATCTCTAAGTTTTTCTGATCTCAAATTTTTACAAACCATAGATCTGTTGTTGTGTGTGTTTTCTGCCTACATTTCTTCTGTTTTTCTCCAAGACTGGATTTTGCATATCTAACCTTTTTTTTTGTTTTGTTTTGGTGAGACTGGGGTTTGAACTCTGGGTTTCGAGCTTGCAAGGCAGGTGCTCTACCACTTGAGCTACAGTCCTTTCTGCTCCAGTTAATTTGGAGGTAAGGTCTCACTTTCAGCCCAGGTTGGCCTGGACCACGATCCTCCTATTTTACACTACCCGTCATCACAGGGATGACAGGTGTGTACCACCATGCTCAGCTATTGGTTGAGATGGGGTCTTGCTAACTTTCTGCCCAGACAAGCCTTGAACCACAAACCTCCCAATCTCAGCCTCCCAAGTAGCTAGGATTAAAAGCATGAGCTACTGGCATCTGACTTAAATTTTCTGAGAACATATGATCTTTCAATGTTAAATCAATATAGAATTCTACTCTGTGTGGTTTTTAATGTTGGCTTTATTTTGTGTTAATTATTTCTGCTAAGTCTACTTATATATAGTCAACTTTTCAGGATTTAATGTTATTAACAAGATGCAGTTTGTTAGCTTCTTGTCTAATATATATTTTAGTTTGTAAATTTCTTTTTCAGTATTGGGGTTTGAACTCAGAGCCTTGTGTTTAGCAGTCACTCTACTACTTGAGCCACACCTCCAGCCCTTTTGGGCTTTAGGTTATTTTTCAGACAGGGTCTCACATTTTTGCTCAGGACCAGCTTTGGACTATGATGCCCCTACCTGTGTCTCCTGAATAGCTGGGATAAAAAGGAGGTTCCACCACACCCAACTTACTTGTTGAGATGAGTCTCACTAACTTTTCGCCTGGGCTGGCCTTCAACCACTTAGCTTGTAGAGTTTTAATGGTTTTAGCTTAATGATTATTTTGACAATTATACTGAGTGAGATGATGCGCAAGGAGCAGCTTGCCCCCAGTGGTCATCGGGTGGACACTGTCCTTGCTCACATACCTTGCTCTTTTCTCGCAGGGTCTTGAAGATGGTGCTCTGTTCAGAAGAGCTCTTCCTCAGCTCCTCCCTGAGCCTCTTCATTTCTTTCTCCATGTCTTGAATTTGCTGAAAAAGTGTTAACCGCAGAGAAGTCAACCTCCAGAGGGGCAGCTGAGCCACGTCCAGCCCCAAAGGTCGGAATCCTCAGAACCTCTTTTGCGGGTCTCACTGAGGGGGACCCTACTCTGGCGCTAGCTTGCTTCCTTCCTTCTCTGTGCAAAGGTCCTACAGCTACAGGCAAATTTGACATTTTTTCCCAATCAATATATTAAAAGTGCGGATGAAGGAAAATATATTTTATTATATTATTTTTTGAGAGCGATCGAAACAAGGGACAACTATTTGGAAGAAAGAGCCGTGAAAGATTTCTTTCCTTCTCTCTTTCTTTTTCTATTTGAGGAGGAGAGAAGTCCCTGGTGCAGTAGAACGCGCCTTTGTGTCATCGTGTACAGGACACTGCTTCCCAGTGAACAAAAGACGGTGACAAGGGAGAGGACTCGGGTGGCAGAGGGAACAGACATTTCAATAAAGGTCATATTTTCATTGTATTTATTTTAATGGCTGGCTTCTACATAAGGCAAATGGAAACTTTCCTTTTTGTTTACCAGTTGGTATAAAATTGATGTATTTAGGGCTGGTGGAGTGGCTCAAGTAGTAGGGCGTCTGCCTAGCAAGCCTGAGGCCCTGAGTTCAAACCCCAGTACCACTAAAATATAATGGATGTGTTTAAATAAAAATGCTAAGTAAGAAGCTTGTGCTCATAAGCATCTAGGGCTGCCGTCGAACTGAAGATGGCAGGACATGATTTCAGGAATCACAGGTGTGGGGCAGGGAGGCAGAATATGTGGTGGCCAAGTGGCCGGCCTCCTGTCCCCGCCCTGTCTTGTCTCTGCCCAGCCTCAGAGTCAACCACGAGGGAGATGGAGCCAGAGCCCAGAGCACAGGGAGTGTTTTCTAGGGTTTTCTCACCTGTCTCTTGGTGGGACTAGAGGCAGAAACCAAAGAATCACGACTACATTAAAACACACCCACAAAGCCCTGGGGCCCATGCTTTGTGACAGGCCAGGATCCCACTAAGGACCCAAAGGTCCAAGCTGAGCTTCAGTGTGTGCCTGCAAGGTGGCAGTCCAACTCACACTCCTGCAGAGTTTTAGCTCCTTCTCTTGGGCCTCCCGGTGCTCCTTCTGGGCCTCCTCCCTTTTTAGCTCTTCCTTCAGCACAGAGCACTGTGGAGAGAACGGGCGGCTGAGAAAGAGGCCAAGGCCGGCCATGTGGGGACCCTGGGAGCATTTCCTGCCCCTCCAACCCAATCCCACACCCAGATTCCAAAAGGTGAGGCCACATGTGCTGACACAGAACCTGCCGGGGCTCTCGCTCCTGCCTCAACCCAAGGTGAGAAATAGTGTCTAAGGTCTTTTTCACGGGCTTTGGAGAGCCTGGGTTCTGAAACACATGTGGGTGACCCAAAAGAGCTCGATGGCTCTTGGTGCTGTGTCCAAGGTGCCAGGCAGTGCCAGGAAATGGGACAGCCTAGCCGAGGGGGACTCCCTCTGGGGATGTGAGGAGCACAAAGATATGCCCGCTTCCTAAAGCTATGAATGGATCACTCCGCGAATCTGAAGGTTCAAGGTCATTCTTCACCGTCTTCTTAGCAGCAGTGGACAAATAACTAAATAAGGAAACACCATGGCCAACAACGGGGGAGCGCTTTCTACATTGTGCAGCCACTGGAGACTGTCACATAGCTTTGAAGACTGATGACAAGAGGTAGGAAAACAGTAAGTACTGATGTTTTTAAAACACACCTGGGATACAAACTCAGTAAGTGTACTTCTAAAGAAACCAGACTGGAAAGGTATGCATTAAAACATTAACCTTGATTTCTTAGGGTTAGGTTACTTTTGTCTTTAATTTTGTTTTTCAGTATTAGCTACTTACTTTTCTAAAATTAACACATGTCACACGTAATTTTAAAAGAAAATAGTATCGCCAAGGCTCAAACACCCTTGGTCATAGGGGGAGCATTTGCTGGAAGTAGGCACAGACTAGAGAGGAACCCTGCAGGGGGAGTTGGGGACAAAGTGATCTAAATATAGTGCTATGCCTTTAAAACAGTGATCGCACTGGAAAGTTGGAAGTCAATCTGCCCAGGGAGGGCCTCATGGGACACAGGCAGGAGAGCAAGGTGATAATCGGCTTGTAGTAGCCACTTTACCAATGCAGAATTTCATGCCAGCAAACTCTGGGATGGGGCCCTTTCCTGCTGGATCCCAAACTCATGTTCTGCCTGTCCTCAGCTCTCACTAGGGCACTGCAAAGCATCAGATGTGACTTCTGCTGCCTGTCAGTGACCCTCAGAATCTAGTCTTTCCTTGGCACCCACAACACACAAGCAGGGCCACCTGACCAGGCCACCATCAGAAATCTGCATTTGCACCTGAGTGGAAGGCCACTTCCACTTGACCTTGACTTTGACTTTCTGAAATAGACAAATGACACAAACACAGAAACTGGGTCCTAAAGGACCCGGGTTCTAAAGTCAGACTGCAGGCAAAATTTGCAAATAATCAAAATGACATTTAAAAGTTAATTTGCCCACCAAGGTAATTTCAGGTCGAGAAATCCTCATGTGCGCTAAAGGGTAAGGAACAAATGCAAATCTGCGTCTGTCCTCACCACTGATGTGACATTCAGCTTTGAAGGTGGTGACAGGGACAGAGATCAAGCCCATTGTGGTCCTTCTCTGCACATAACAGGGTTTTTCTTGCTTTAATATTGAGATTTGCCATGGAAATACAGGCCAATAGGTGTGTTTATTGCTGAATTAAACAAGCCTTTTTGTTTTTTTTTTGGAGACAGATTCATTATGTAGCACAGGCTGGCCTTAAACACTCAAGATCCTCCTGCTTCAGCCTCCAGGGCTGGGATTACTGGCATGTGCCACCATGCTCAGCATAGTAGGTATTATGAAACAGTCTTTGGATCTGAACTCGTGTCTTGTTTATTCTGAACCACTAAGCACACTGTTCTTCAAAAACACTGCAGAGAACTTGGCCACCTGTCTTTTTTGGTGGCTTTCTTGAGGCTTCAGCTGACCTCTTTAAACCCTTGGGCCTTGGCAGCCATGGTGGGAGAGGAGACAGTGGAATTTAAAGCCAGGGAAATGACAGAGGCGTGTCATGTGACTTTGTGCTCTAGTTACTCTTCGTCGGGTAGTGGGGAGACTGTGAGGGGTGAGGCCCAACACTCACCCTAGAGCCCAGGGCTACAAGCTCCTGTTCCTTCTCCTTGTTCTGAGTCTTCAGTTGGTCCACCTCATCCTTCAGGTTTTGCACTTGCTCATTCCTTGCTAACATGTCTTTTTGCAAAGCTGTCACCATCTCTGTACAAAAAAAAAAAAAAAAGACAGAGACCAAAAAGGCAATAAGGATTACTGCCATGGCTGCCACTGACAGCCAATCTGAGGGTGGCCTTGGCAGTGAGGAAGAGGTGACAGCGGGGAACTCCCAGGACTTCAGAAGCTAGAATGGAGCTGACACAACCAGGCACTGATTGTATTGTTGCTGGTCTTGGGTGGAATCAGGGGAGCCAGGGAATGTTATTGGGGGCAGGAAAAATGTGGGGGTACCTTGCAGGCATGAGCCTCACCATGGGCCTGGAAGTAAAAGCCCAGCAGACAGAGCAGCCAAGGGAGGACCTGAGGTGGGCTGTGGGTAGGTCTTGGGAACTGTTGCTAGGGTGGATGGGTTTGCACTTGACTATGACCTGTGACTATGACTTATGTGTGAAGTTGAAGAACTTCAGGATGCTCCCTGCTGTCCTTTTGGATGGCTCTAACTCTGCGTGTTATATGTGTGCTAGCCAGGTCTCTGCTGCAGACTGCAGGGAGACTGCAGATATGGGGGGCTCTCTGCAGGTTAGCTCTCTTCCTGGGCACTATGCCTTGCAAACCCTAGCTGTGTTGGCTTCTCCAGTGCTGTCATTTCAGCTTTGGAGGCCACTGAGCTCAGCCTGGGCTCCTCTCCAGGAGTCTGTGGTCTGATAGAGGCCAGTGCACCATGTCACAAAACTTCTCTGAGCAGCAAGCTGGGGACACCGCAGCACTCCCTGATTGGCTTCCCTTCCCTCTGGGATCACTGTTATGAGCCTCCAGGGGTCCAATATATGTTGCTTCAAGGAGGAGATAAATAAATCCAGCCCGTCACTCCATCTGCCCTCTTGTCATGGAAGATGAGGTTTGTGATGTGATATTTTGTGTTGGTCTCTGTCAGCCTGAGTGTCTCTGAGTGTTTGCCGTGAGTAAGGCTCCTCCTAATCCATGATGGGCCCAAGTGTTGTCACGCACTGGGGCCTAGGGACCATTTGTTACTGCAGCATCATCCATCCTAACACTCACATCTGAGTGTGCCTACAAAGCACTCAGGGTGCTTGTGAAGACACATTCTCATTGGAAAGTCAAGGTGGAGCCTGGAACTCTGTGCCCCTCACAAGGACCCAGGTGAGCTGTGCTGCTGGTCCAAGGACCTCACTTCAAGTGGCGAGGGTCTGGCCCATCCCTAGGGATGCTCAAGCCCAGGTCTGTCCAATGCCCTGATTCGAGGGGAGTGTCTGGGATAAGCGTGGAGCATGGGTGACATGTGTCAGACAGACATAGGAGAGGAAGGTGGGGCCCAGCAAGCTCTTCCTCACATTCCTGGCGCCACTCAGTAAGCTCCCCAGGACTCCACAAGCAGGGGCAGAGGCCTGGAGGGGAGCTGCAGAGTGAGGCAGGGCCACAGGTGGCCTAGGGCACAGCACTTGGATTGCTGAAGACTGTCATTCATGTTGGGTTCCTGTGTGTTGTGACATGTTTCCTGCTGTGTCCTGGGTCCCTTCAGAGCAACACGCCTAACCTAGACTCACTACCTGTGGATGATCACTTGGGTTCTGAGCCCCAAAACAGAGCCCAGGAGCCACTGAGACAGTGGGGCCCATGCAAATCCTCCATTGAGTATTTGTGAACTGAACCAAACCACAGAAGCCACAAACCTGGACCCTCTGCTCTTGCTGTACCTGCTGAGCAGCCACGGACTTGGACTTGGACCCATAATTGACTGTTTGCCTCCATCGTAATTCATACAGGACCATGTGCCCAGTTTGGGATTTTGCCTTTTTAAACTCTGCACCCCCCTTCCCCTCCCTTGGAATATAATCTAGATGCTAGTGGACCCTGAGTCTTTCAGCAATACAACCCCATAAAGACACCAGATAAAATGTCTTTGATCTGAGCCTGATTATTGGTTTTGATTCAGAATTCTTGACACTCTTCTCTTCTGTTAATGGCTCCAGCCTCTTTCAGTCTCTAACCTGTCATTCTTTGCTTTAAAAACCTCAACAGCTTCCCAAATAAACAGCTTTGGAATAAAACCAAAGCTCATCCCTGTGATCTGGTCCTGCCTTTCCCTTTGACTCCACCTCACTCCACAGTCCTTCCTTCACTGAGCCATACTCACCTGCAGCTCCTTCAATATGGCTGGTTCCTGCCCCAGGGCTTCTGCACTTGGGTTTGCTGCCTGGCACTCCATTCCCTTGGAGCTCCTCCCACCTCCACAGAGCCAGTGCTTGTCTGCCCACTAAGCTAGTCTCCCTTCACTTTACTACTGAAGCACTTTGCCCACCACGTCACCCAGTTTGGTTTTATTTTTGCAGCACAGATCTCTCCCTGAAATGGGCTCAGTCAACCTCTGACACATGTGAACCAGTGAGTATAGGGACCATGATGATTCCAAGAGCCTAGAACAGTGCCTGGTACCCAGCAGGTGCTCAGTTCATGGGTTTGATGAATGGATGGATGGATCCAGGCTACGTAACTGCTGAGCCTGGCAAGGGTGGGCCATGAGCGGACTGCCCCTCCCCCACCCATGTTCTTCAGTATGGAATTGCCTGTGCTGGCCGGTTAGCAAAATGCTTTCATAGGGGTCCAAGGATGCAATGGGTAAGACGCTGGGTGCCTCAGTGTCCCCATTCTGGTTTACATTCAAGGCCCCCTGTTTGGTGAGATTTCCTTATTCTTCCTGGTGAACTGGGGTCAGTAGGCCTTTTAGCTAAGAGCTAATGCCTGTTCAAGCATTGACCAGAGGCTGACTTTGAGCCAGGCCTTGTGCTAGGAGCTGGATGGCCTAAGAACCAACTCTGATTCCTGGATGGTGCTGCTCCCAGGGCCTCTGTGAACTCAGAGGCTGTCTAGGCTCAGAGAGCAAATGTTGGTTGATTGGTGATGTCTGCCTGGGCCGCGACATGGGGTGGTTGAGCGGCAGTGCTAAGCCCAGCTCCAAAGAGCTCACCTGACTTGATGGCGCTGTCCTTCTTCAAGTTTTCACCCTCGCGCTTCAGGGATTCGATCTCCGAGTTCCGCTCAGACAGGGTCTGGCTGAGCATCTGACTGTAGCCTTTCTGAAGGGCACTGATCTGAGGGAGGAGGCAGCACAGAGTCAGAGGACCCTGGCCCAGGCCTGAGACCATGGGTACTTCCTGATGCTGGGCAGATTCTGATAGGTCTGTGGTTGGACAGTGGGGGACCAAGCTGTTTAGTTTTAAGGAGTGAAAGGGACAGGGATGGCCTACCATTTTATATGTAATTGACACATGCTTGGGGTGCCCACAAAGGGGCTTAGGCCCAGCCACTCCTGGCCACCTGCCTTCCTGTGACACTGGGACTTTTGGTCTTGGGTTCTCACCAACCAACATGGACTGGATCCACCACAAAGTTCAAGAGGCTGTAAAATCAATTCCCTCAAACAACAATACAATAGGGTCTATCTCAGAGAAAGTTCTACAGCTTACACGGTCCCTTCACAGACATGATTTCCCATGGTGCTTCACAGCAGCCATGAAGGGTGCCTCCATTCTGCAAGTGGGTGAACTGAGACTCAGAGAGGTAAGGGGCATGGTCAGAGACGGGAGTCCCACTGGGACCCAGTGTTTAGGTGCTCGGTTCCAGGTCTTGTCATCTTATCACATGGTCCTAGGAGCAAGCACTAAAAGCTGGGGTCTGTACTGCATAGCTGGGCAGCCAAACTGCCACCTCTAAGTCCTGTCCCTGCCACTTTTCAGGCTGGGGGAGCACAGGGTGTACTCTGATTGGATCTCATTTTTTCATCCTGTAAATGCGATGAAGATAGCCCCAGTCTTATAGGATTGTTGAAAGCATTTTAAAAAGTTAATATCCGTAAAGACGCTCAGCCCACGCCTGTGCACGGCACACGAGCTCTGATCATCCATGTGTTTTGGCTTCAGCCCCTCTCGTCGGCCTCGGGGAAGGAAGGCAGATTGATAATATTTTTGTGTGCATTTGTAAATCTTGTCTTGGATCCCTTAAACACCAGTATGACTGCCACCGAGAGAAAATAAGGAATCTTAGCAATTATCACAACACATCACAGGCATAGCGTGAAAAAGACCAGGGTCCAAGCACGCTCAGACACCGTGGGGCAGGGCGTCTGCCTCGCCACAAGATGGCGCTGGTAGTCCTTGCTCTCGGCTCCTGTCCCTGAACCCTGATTAGTATTCCATGGTAGAATTAACCCGGAGGTTTCTGCTTCTATGTCTCTTTCATGCGCCATCATGGTTTAGATTGGGGAGGTGACATTGTCTTCTTCCCTGGGACACTGGAGAAGGGACAAATGCCAGGAAGGGGATGAGGACACAGGCTGCTCTGTCCCCTACCCTACTCAGGGCTACACCTCTGCCTGCTAGTGCTTTGGAAACTAAACAAAACAAAGCAAACTTCAGAAATTCCTGTTTTCTGTAGAGGAAATACACCTTTCCTATATAAGGCACTGGAATAAAAAAAGTGTGCGTATTTCTCAGTGTCATGCTTTTGTCTGCGTGGTACCAGAGGCACTCTGAAAGGATGATGGGGAACAATGCTCCCCAAAGATTTCACTGCTGTCTGGTGGATATAAACCACTTCAATCAACGTGTCAGAGCCTTACGATTTCAGACTGCAGGAAAACTCCATACCGTTCTCAATCCTCTTCATCACTTTCATCACCAAAATAAATATCCAGATTGCCTATAATTGGTGTAAATGCTGAGATGGTTAGTGCCTGCGATGCTCTGTAATGAAACAGGCACTGGATCATAAGAAAGTTAATAGTGCCAGGAAGAGTGATTGCGTCGAGATAATAACTCGCCTGTAATTAGGGCAGGAGGCGCAGACGGGGCCCTGAGTGCTGCCTATGGCATCGCAGCGGAGGAGAGAGGGTGGGGCGCACATCACTGCACACTGGCTCTCCGGGGACGGGAACGGGGATGGGGATGGGGATGGGGAAAGCACACAAAGCCATCAGAGCAATGAGTCAGCCTGCCGCTGGCTTACACTTCTGGCTGGATGCCCTGATAATTAGAGAATATCTGGGAAGCTAAAACGTGAGCAGATGGAACTTGACTTGGATCCAAATCGACATCAGAGATGTCCTGCTGTGAAATATCCTCTTCCAGCTCTGAGTAGAGATTGAGGCAGAGGGAAAGACCACCATGTAAGCCATTACTTCTAGACGATTCCTGGCTAAAAAACAATTGGCCATGTCCCACTAGTCACTTTAAATGACGAGTGTGGCCGGTTGACACAGATAAAGACCTGTGAGCATTATCACACTTGTCCACGCACCCAGAGGACAAGGCTTTGCTCAAGAAAAGCTCTGAGATGGGAGAGTTAATGAAAAGGGCATTTCTCCATTTGGTTGTAAATTAGGCTCAGATCAAAAGAATGATGCTGGCAGAGATCAGGAGGATCGTGGTTCAAAGCCAGCCCAGGGAAATAGTTTGCAAGACCCTATCTTGAAAAAAACCCATCAGAAAAAAGGGCTGATGGAATGGCTCAAGGTGTAGGCTCCGAGTTCAAACCTCAGTACCACAAAAAAAAAAAAGAGGGATTATGTTGACCACAGATGTAATGAGATAGCAAAATAGCAAACACCACTTTTACAGGCTCTGACCGATTTATCAGAGCTACAGAGGGTGGGGGGGAAGAGAGAGAGAGAGAGAGAGAGAGGAGAGAGCGCAAGTGAGCGACAGGCACTACCTGCCTGTAATCCCAGTTGCCCATGTGGCAGAGATATAAGGATAAGGATTTGAGGCCAGTCTGGCCAAAGAAAAGTTAGTCAGATCCCATCTTGAAGAAAACTATCACAAAAAAGAGCTGGTGAAGCACTCAAGGTGTAGGTCCTGAGTTCAAACCCCAGCACCAGAAAAATAAAAAGAGAGAGAGAAGGGCGCTCACCAACGACACAGGTTCACGTCAAGGCAACTGTGTGCTGTGGCAGTTCCCAAAGAGTCTGCTATTTTCATTGTTCTTTCAAAAACATGTCCAAAGGAAGGTCATTCAAATTTACTTGTTTATTCTGTTTCCTTCACTGGAACATACGCGAGACAGTTTTCTGTTACTGTAACAACATACCTGAGATAATTGACTTAAAGAGAGGAAAGGTTTACTTCCACTCACAGTGTCAGAGCTCCCAGTCCATGGTTGGTTAGCCCTGTTGTTTTGGACATGTGGGAGGCAGCACATCATGGAGGGAGCAGTGGTAGAGCAAAGCTGCTCATGTGGACATGAGGCAAAGACAGAGAAAGAGGAGGGGTCACTTCTTTGAGGACACATCCCCAATGACCTCACTTCCTTCTACTAAGCCCCGCCTCTTAAAGGTTCCATCATCTCCCAAAAGGGCCTAAGTTGGGGAACCAAACCTTCAACACACAGGTCTTTGGGGAACATCCAAAATCGAAACTGTACTGGGACACAACTGAGGGCAGAGCTCCCACAGCCCAGAAGAGGGTGAGGTGACAGTTTGAATGCACAGGTGGATGAGCGACTGGATGTGTGAGTGATCAGCTGATGCATGGTCCCATTGCAGTAGTCCCCAACACCAGTGGATCCCTGAAATTGCAGACAGTACCAGTGTCTTCCATTACACACCTGTGATAACATTTCATCTACAGATTAGACACAGAAACACATTAACAACTAATAACAAGTGATTTAATGCTTATGAATTGCTGATTTCTGGAATTTTTCATGTAATATTTTGGGGCTGAAGCTGAGGAAAGGAGCTTTGCTGTAGAGTTCTGGGAGGTGACTGGCCCACCCCTGACCTGTAAGAGTGTCCATCCCAGGTAGAATGGCCAACATTCACCAGGTAGAAGCCATGTCCTTTTCAGAGCACCATTTGTAGGACTGAAACTGTGCTGCTTGAGCTGGGTGTAGCAGGGAAAGGTGGAAGCAGGGAGCTGGAGAACAGAGGCCCAGGTGGGACCACAGCTGAAGCAGTGGTATACACGGAGGCCAGTGCACAAGCGGCCACCAGTGGCTAACTTGTTTTCCCCAGCGTTATCAAGACGTAATTTATGTGCAAAATCAATTATCGTAGTTGAGTGAGGCAGCCCACTCCTGCAATCCCAGCACTCAGGAGGCTGAGGCAGAAGGTTCAAAAGTTTGAGGCCAGCTTGGGTTGCATAGTGAGACTCTGATTCAGAAAACAAAACCCAACAAAAACATACTGAAAGAAAAAAAAAAATCAATGGCTACTTTTTTTTTTTTAATGGTACTGCTGTTTGAACTCAGGGCCTCACACTTACTAGGCAGGTGCTCTACCACTTCAGCCACTCCATCAGCTACTTATTTGTTTGTTTGTTTGTTTATTTGCATTGGTTATTTTTGAGATAGGGTCTTATTTTATGTCCAGCTGTTCTGGATCACAATCCTCTTATTTGTGCTTCCCTGAATAGCTGGGATGACAGGTGTATGTCACCAACCCAGACATTGGTTGAGATGAGGTCTCATGAACATTTTGCTTGGGCTGGCCTCCAACTGCCATCCTCCTAATCTCTGCCTCCTGAGCAGTTACGATTATAGGCGTGAGCCACTGTGCCCAGCCAATGCCATTTCTTTCTTTCTTTTTGTTTTAAAGGAGTTTTCATCTTGTTTTCCCATAGAAAGCAAGGTACCTGGTAAACCGATTCCAGGTTGGGGAATATTTTGTTGATGAAATTCCCCATAAGTGAGCCAGTAAACGCCTTCAGGGTTTGATACGAGGCCTCCGTTTTGGGGGCTGGGGGTTCCTCTCCCCTTAGCTGACTTCCTGCAGCTCTTTTCATCTAGGGTGGGCTGAGTGTGGGAGCGGTCACAGAGCAGTGTTGGTGGAAACAGGAGGTGGGGGAGAGGGCGTGGGGTTAGCTAGTGACAGACCCAAGTTCAAAGTACACCACCACCTGTGTGGTGCCGTGCAAGCTCCAGCGACTCTGGGCCTGCCTCAGTCCCCTCATCTGTATATTGGACACGTGAGAAGACCCTGAGGTGGAAATCGGTTAAGTATCTAAGGTACTTGCACTAGGATTGTTCTTGTGTTTGGGGGCGTGGACTCCACTCCCTGGGTTCCTAACCTCCATGCAACAAGGCCTTCCCCTTGTCCCAAGTCCTACCTGGTTTTTCAAGCTCTCAATTTCCTTCTGTCTGGGATCCTCGCCTTCTTCTAGCCCCTGAACTTCTGTGGAATGGCCCTGTCGCTCTGCCTGAGGGGGTTTATTTGCATTGGTTATTTTTGAGATAGGGTCTTATTTTATGTCCAGCTGTTCTGGATCACAATCCTCTTATTTGTGCTTCCCTGAATAGCTGGGATGACAGGTGTATGTCACCAACCCAGACATTGGTTGAGATGAGGTCTCATGAACATTTTGCTTGGGCTGGCCTCCAACTGCCATCCTCCTAATCTCTGCCTCCTGAGCAGTTACGATTATAGGCGTGAGCCACTGTGCCCAGCCAATGCCATTTCTTTCTTTCTTTTTGTTTTAAAGGAGTTTTCATCTTGTTTCCATAGAAAGCAAGGTACCTGGTAAACCCAGATTCCAGGTGGGGAATATTTGTTTGATGAAATTCCCCATAAGTGAGCCAGTAAACGCCTTCAGGGTTTGATACGAGGCCTCCGTGTTTGGGGGGCTGGGGGTTCCTCTCCCCTTAGCTGACTTCCTGCAGCTCTTTTCATCTAGGGTGGGCTGAGTGTGGGAGGCGGTCACTAGAGCAGTGTTGGGTGGAAACAGGAGGTGGGGGAGAGGGCGTGGGGTTAGCTAGTGACAGACCCAAGTTCAAAGTACACCACCACCTGTGTGGTGCCGTGCAAGCTCCAGGCGACTCTGGGCCTGCCTCAGTCCCCTCATCTGTATATTGGACACGTGAGAAGACCCTGAGGTGGAAATCGGTTAAGTATCTAAGGTACTTGCACTAGGATTGTTCTTGTGTTTGGGGGCGGTGGACTCCACTCCCTGGGTTCCTAACCTCCATGCACAAGGCCTTCCCCTTGTCCCAAGTCCTACCTGGTTTTTCAAGCTCTCAATTTCCTTCTGTCTGGGATCCTCGCCTTCTTCTAGCCCCTGGAACTTCTGTGGAATGGCCCTGTCGCTCTGCCTGAGGGGCATGGTTTCCGACAGCCTCTGACTCAGCTCTGCCAATTCGTTCTGCAGGTTTATTATCACTGCGTCTTTGTATTTGGATTCCACTTCAAAATCTGAGAGCCGGTTGACTTCTCTCCCCAGAAGCAGAATGATTTCATCCTGGGTGGGGAGCAGAGAAGCCTACTGGGTGCTGGCCTGTGAGCGGAGCCAGGCCATTTGTAAACTGGGAAAAGCAGGGGGTCATTGTTCCCAGAAGGCCAGGGTAGGCAGAAAGGACAAAGGAGACAGCCAGTGTCCCTGGCACTCGGAAAGCCTCAGGTTAAAATTGCACCTGTGCATTGATGCCCATAAGGGATGCTTGTGCCTCAAAGGTTCAGAACTCCTGTGCCCTGAAATTGTACCTTGAGGCCGACAGCAGCAAGCACACTTGTGATCTCCTGTGGCCAGAGAGTTTATTTATTATCTTAGATGCTCAGATAGCACCTGGGGACCAGGACAGGGAGTTAGGAATATGCCATTCAGGTTCACCCACACTGTATGAAATCGAGGACTACTTATTTCAAATTTTAATACTTTCTGCAGATCTCCCGCTACCCCCACCCCGGCTCCTCACACAGGAATTTATTTTAGGTAATGAGTCAGGGGAGTAGTGAAGAGGAGACGGGATTACTTTCATGGCCTCCTGGAAACTTTGGGTTGGAGGAAATCTTGCTGGTAGACCTTAGCACAGGCATAGCTAAGCCAGCCTCCCGGCCCTCCCAAGGGAAAGCCCTGTAGCTAGAGGACTTGTTAGGTTTCCCCAAAAAGGGGGACCATTCCCCCAAAGTTCTCACAAGAAGGCATCAACTAGAATCAGTAAGAATTTGGGGGAATCCCTGGATGTTTTCATACAGCCGTGGACTTCAGATCCATCACGGTTAAAGGGGCCTCCCTTGCCATTGGCCAGGAGGAGGGAACAGGGCAGTTTCCAGGCCAGCTTGTGGCCTGTGGAGCCTGTAGCAAGCAGGACTTGAAGCTTCCTGACAGGGAGCTGCTGTCAAGGGTCTTTCTCTGGGTCCTGTGAGCACTTGTCACAGAATTTCAAGGGACATCCATCAGCGGATTGGGAGCCCCTGCTTCATCCAAAGGAATCAATAAAGTCTCTATGCCCAGCAGATGCACAGTCATTGTTCGTACGACATTTATTGGGCACTGACCGTGTGCCAGGCTCTGTGCTGGGCACTGGAATACAGAGGAGCATCCAGCTCTGGCTTCTGTCTTTGTGGTAAGGACCCTACACTCTCTTGATGGAGCATCTCTTCCCTGTCCATGTGGTCTAAGTAGGCTGTCAATCATGTGCCCTGCTCCTTCCTGTCCCGCCTTCCCCTGCCCATGTGACCCAGGCTGGCCAATCTGAGCTTTCTCAGACATCCCCTGAATTGATTACAGGAGGAAGAGAGTCTTGCTTCCTTTTGGATCATAAGGTTTAGATGTGTAGGCTTGAGTTTGTGTACAGTCATTTTTTCCAGCACAAGAAGCCAGCCTGCTGGAGAAAGTCAACCTGTGAGCGGAACAGAGTGGAAAAATGGTACAAGAAGTGCTGAGATGACGTCATTCAAGTTCCTGGATAGAGCCATGCTTGAAGCTAGTGAACTTTTAAATTTTCCAACAAGATAAACCAATAAAGAATGAGAAAGAAAGAAAGATAAGCCAATAAATGCTTCCTTAAAACCAATTTGCTTATTGTCACTTAACTTAAAGGAGTTCTGGCAAGTCAGGACATAAATGGCACATAAATAGAAAAAAAAAAAAGGAAATCTAATTATATTTCCAGTTTAACAGCTGGTGGCTTGCTTTGACCAACAGAATGTGGTTGGTGGTGTGGAGTGATCTCTAAGCAAGTTCTCAGGTGGCTGTGCGGTGTCCCTCCTGACTCCAGGACCCTGGGACCACTGTGCTGGGAAGAAACCCAGGCTGAAAACCATGTGCTGAGAGGTGCTGAGGTCCCACACCTGGGAATGCGGCCTCCTGGGACCATCAACCCCACTGGGCCAGTGGTTGACAGCAGTGTGTGAGAGAGGCAGGAAGACAGGCAGAAAGACTTTGTGAGTTAAGTCACAGGGTAAGAAACTGCTGCTCTGAGCCCCTTCAATTTGGACTAGTTTGCTCCACAGCTTGGTGCAGTCTGGCCTCAGGACACGGGTCAGAACCACCTTCCATCCAAAGCCGCAAATGACCAGACGTGTCATCTCTGTGTCCCAAGAACCCTGGTGTCTCTGTCCCCATAGACATAGACCTTGGCCTGGGTCATGATGCACACAAGGCATTGTTGGACTTTTTTTTTTGTGTGTGTGGTACTGGGGCTTGAACTTGGGGCCTTCACCTTCAGCCACTCCACTAGCACAGTTTTTTTTTTTTTTTTTTGATAGAATTTTACAAGATAGGGTCTTGTGAACTGTTTTGCCTGGGCTGGCTTTGAACTGCGATCCTCCTGACCTCTGCCTCCTGAGTAGGTGGGATTACAGGCGTGAGCCACCAGCGTCCAGCATTGGATTTCTTATTGAGGGTAGTTTTCAAGTTGTGGCAAAGTGGGGAGAATGCAGCCTGGACCTGCCCTTCCTAGGGCACCCCTTCTCACTCCCGTTCCTGCCTCGGTCTCCAAATCTCTCCTGCTTAACAAGTCTCCCCTTCGTCTGTGGCCTCAGCTCCAGCTTCCTCCTACTAGGACATGTTCTCCCCAGCACTGTTCCTTCACTTGTGGTTGACTGAGTGGTTACTGCATGTGGAGTTAAAAGTACCAGCTTAGAAGTTAACCAGACTTGGGTCTGAATTCCAATTCTGCCCCTTTCACTGTGCAACCTTGGGCAAGTTACTTAAACTCTCTGAGCTAAAGATTCCTCATCAGCAAAGTGGAGCTGATAAAATTGGTTTTGAAGGTGGTGAAGATTTCAGATGAGCTAATGAATGTCAAGTGCGCAGGACACAGTCTAGTACACAGCAGGTGCTCAATTAAACAGTGACTGTGATTGTTATCTGAGGTACAACTTTCAATTAGATCTTAAGAGGGGGGAAAAAAGAAAGAGCACCATAAGAGGCAGCAGCAAGCCTCTCTGTGGTGGCTGGCTGCCACAGCCCCACCCTTCTCACCTTGTCCTGCTGGGCCAGGTCCTGGTCCATGTAGATCTCAGGGGAAGGCATGGCCCCGGGGAGGCCCTTGGCCACGGTTTCTTCTGACAGTTCCACAGCGCTGGTCCACACTAGGGGAACAGACAGAACCAAGTGCTGTGAGCTCCCCAAAGCCTTGAGAAATAGTTTCAGAGTGGCCTTCACATTGTCGCCCTGACAGTTACGCCTCAGGTGAGTTTAAACTCACAGAGCAGTGCACGCTCACTGGACAGCAAGAAAAGCACACGGGGTGTGTTGAGGGGGAGGGGCTGCCTCACTCCCCCCCAGCCAAATCAGCTGGTGGTGGCCTTGATGTGTCTTTCTCCAGACCTTTCTGTGATCAAGACCTAGGGACCCTGGGCAGGTCATTTGACTCTCTGTGGCTTAGTATCCACACATGTAATCGGAGGACACGAAGAGTCTGGTACAAATTGGGGAGGCAAGTTACAGCCGCAGGGCCTTTTGAAAATAAAGTTTTATTGGAACATGACCACAGTCATTCATTTGTGGATCTTCTATGACTGCTTTTTCTGCTAAAAGGGCAGAAGTGAAGAGGGGCAATACAGACCGTATGGCCCTCAGGGCCTAAACTCTTTTCTATCTTGTTCTGTGACATCGTGATTTGTAACAAAAACCATATATTTGGTCTCATCCTGTTTCCGGGTCCCTAGCTCCTAGATCTTTTGGACTCTCCAAAGTTGAAAGGACCTATTTGCATGCTGAGGAAATGACTGACAGCCTGGAGCCCTGCACAATGGGATGGGGGCTGGTTGCCAGGGCAACGAACCAGGTGATAGACGGCTACGATTTCAGCCCCACCCCAGACGTTCTGGAAGTGGGGAGGGCTGAGGTTGAGCTGGGCAGTGATGGCTTATGCAAGGAAGCGTGCATACATCCCCCAAAGGACTTGGTTTGAGCAGCTTCCAGGTCACTCACCATGTGGAGGGGCGTGATGGTTGGGGCACCCACAAAGTCATGGAAGTTCGGTGCCCCATCTCCCACTACCTTGGTCTGTGTATCTCTTCAGTGTATTCATTTGGAGCCTTAAGAAATTCTTTGTGGGGCCAGGTATGGTAGTGCATGCCTGTAATCTCAACTATGTGGGAGGCAGAGATAGGAGGATACTGCTGAAGGCCAGCCTGGGCAAAAATTAATGAGACCCTATCTCAAAAACAAGCTGGGCATGGTGGTGTGTGCCTGTGATTCCAGCTACATGGATGGTGGATTTAAGAGGATGGCTCTCTTGGGGGTAAAAAGTGTGAGACCCAATCTGAAAAATAACTAAAGCAAAAAAGGTGGCTCAGGCTTGCCTAGCAAGTGCAAAAGTCCTGAGTTCAAACTCTAGTGCTGCCAAAAAAATATATAGGTATGTATATATATTTGTAATAAATCAGTCATAGTAAGCAGATTGCCTGAGCTCTGCCAAACCTGAGAAGGGGATCCTAGGAACCCTAACTTGTAACCAGCCAAGTCAGAAATGCCAGACGTGGGGCTTGTGGTGGGTGGGAGTGTAACAACCTGCAGGATGTGACACTGACTCCAGGTAGACGCATCAGAATGGAGCCAAATTCAAGGGCGCCAGCTGGTGCTGGAGCATTGCTTAGTGGGTGCTGTAATTTGCATCTGGAATGTCCCCCAAAGGGGGACAATGTGTCGAGGGCTTGGTCCCCAACCTGTGATGCTACTTGGAGGTTGCAGGACCTGTAGGAGGTGGGGCCTGGTGGGAGGAAGTGATGTCATTGGGGGCATGGCTTAGGGAATATGGGACCTTGTTCCTTCTTTCTCTTTTTGTTTCCTTGCTACAGAGAAGTAAGCAGCTTCCTTCACTGGGCATTACCACCATGGTGTGCTGCCTCACCCAAAAGGCAGCCAGGCAAGTGACCACGGACTGAAGCCTCTGAAACCATGAGCCTAAACAAACCTTTCCTCGTTTTAAGTTGATTGTCTAGGGTACTCTATTGCAGTAACAGAAAACTGACTATCACAGTGGTTGGGGGGTCACCTCCATACTTACTGGTGACCAGAAGAGTTGTGAGGTACAGGGAAGAGTCTCTACACAGGTTCTTTACAGAAAAAGTTGGCCCAGCTCTATGGAAAGCATTTTCCATTAAATGTTAGCTACCTCAAATATTGTATCTTTTAATTTTTATTAAAAAATTGTTTTTGGGGTGGAACTGGGGTTTGAATCCAGGGCTTCATGCTTGAGTCATGCCTCCAATTCATTTTGTTCTAATTATTTTGGAGATGGGATCTCACGAGCTTTTGGTCAGGGCCGGCCTCCAACAGACCCTCCCAATCGCAGCCTCCCAAGTAGCTAGGAATACAGGTGTAAGCCACTGGTGCCTAGCATAATTATATCCTTAAAAAACATAAATAGATTTATATCATAGATCTTCCTTTCTAGCTTGCTTTCACCCTTAATGGTGTATCAGAAATGCCCTCCCATGGGAGTAGTTACAGTATTTGTTATTGGTAGCACGGTGACACAAATGAACCAAGACACATGTGACTAGGACCCACTTGATAGGCGTGTAAGCATTCCTGATTTTCTTCTTATTTATTCCCGCTATCATAAGGGTTCTTTTTTTTTTTTTCATTTTTCTTTTATTATTCATATGTGCATACAAGGCTTGGTTCATTTCTCCCCCCTGCCCCCACCCCCTCCCTTACCACCCACTCCGCCCCCTCCCTCTCCCCCTCACCCCCTTAATACCCAGCAGAAACTATTTTGCCCTTATTTCTAATTTTGTTGTAGAGAGAGTATAAGCAATAATAGGAAGGAACAAGGGTTTTTGCTGGTTGAGATAAGGAGAGCTATACAGGGTATTGACTCACATTGATTTCCTGTGCGTGGGTGTTACCTTCTAGGTTAATTCTTTTTGATCTAACCTTTTCTCTAGTTCCTGATCCCCTTTTCCTATTGGCCTCAGTTGCTTTAAGGTATCTGCTTTAGTTTCTCTGTGTTAAGGGCAACAAATGCTAGCTAGTTTTTTAGGTGTCTTACCTATCCTCACCCCTCCCTTGTGTGCTCTTGCTTTTATCATGTGCTCATAGTCCAATCCCCTTGTTGTGTTTGCCTTTGATCTAATGTCCACATATGAGGGAGAACATACGATTTTTGGTCTTTTGGGCCAGGCTAACCTCACTCAGAATGATGTTCTCCAATTCCATCCATTTACCAGCGAATGATAACATTTCGTTCTTCTTCATGGCTGCATAAAATTCCATTGTGTATAGATACCACAGTTTCTTAATCCATTCGTCAGTGCTGGGGCATCTTGGCTGTTTCCATAACTTGGCTATTGTGAATAGTGCCGCAATAAACATGGATGTGCAGGTGCCTCTAGAGTAACAGTCTTTTGGGTATATCCCCAAGAGTGGTATTGCTGGATCAAATGGTAGATCGATGTCCAGCTTTTATAAGGGTTCTTTTGAATCTCCACTATGTATACGTCATATGAAGCATGTCATAATTCACTGACATCCATGGGTAAGGAAATTTTGGGGGGATGGGCAGTACTGGGGTTTGAACTCAGGGCCTCACTCTTGCTAGGCAGATGCTCTACCATTTGAGCCACTCCACCAGTTCTTGGTGCTGAAGTTTTTGAATTTCTACAGTTCTGCTTTTGAGATTATTCAGCTCTGAGTGGCGCATTTTAAGTTTCCTACTAACTCTGATTTCCGGACAAATCATTCTGCATTCTTCCTGAGAAGTGTGGCACTGAACCAACTGTTTTCAGATGGGATAAAATATTAACACTTAACATTAACAAGTAATGAGGTTTGTGCGGTCACATTTGTGGTTTGCTATTCATTTTGGTTCTGCATTTTTAATATACTTTGAAGAGAATGATCCCCCCAGGTTTCAGACATATTTGTTGGCCCAGAACTGCTGGAGTGGGCACAGGAAGGCCCTCTGATGTCTGGGAAAGGCATGGCACTGAGTGGCTGGCACAGGCCCTGATATTTGCTGGGACACATGGGGGATGGGACCAGATTCTCACCTAGGCTTACAGTCCAGGCACCAGAACAGGTTGGGGTCACAAGACATTCTGGATCCTACTTTTTAATGGGTTGTTTTTCTTTTCTTTGGTGCTACTGGGGTTTGAACTCAGGGCCTAGCACTCTACCACTTGAGCCATGCCCCCAGTCTTTTTGCTTTTAGTTGATTTTTCAGGTAGGGTCTTGAGCCAACTTTGCCTGGGCTGGCCATGGACTGAGATCCTCCTACCTCTGCCTCCCGAGCAGCAGGCATCACAGGCATGTACCACCATGTCCAGCTCTTTACTGGATTGGTTTTCTTATGCACTTCTTATACCCAATAAAACAAGCCGATCAAACTCTTCCAAACATGACAGATGCCAAACCCTTCTCAGTCATCCCTGCCTATTTCCCTGAAGGCGAATGCATCCAAAGTCTCTGGGGGAGCCCGTGTCTCAAGTGGTAGAGCACCTGCCAAGCAAGTACTGCTACCCCTTGGGTCCTGTCCCCTCTCTGCCTTGACCACTTACACTGCTTTCACATGGTCTGGCCCTGACCAGCCTGCCAGCCTGTAGGTTCATCTGGAGCCACATTCCTCCAGGAGCAGACCGTTCAGCCACCCCAACTGTCCCTTGCACCAAACCCACCCACTGCCTGGCTGAGTCACACGGTGTCCCTTCCAGCTGGGAAGCTGCTTTCTTGCCCTCTGTGCCAGAGGGTGTCACTTGCTTTTCAGTGCTTGGCTTGTGCCATTCTCCATCCAGCAATCATTTCCTTCCACCATGAGCTCAGGGGTACCAAGTACCAACCCTGCCTGGTGGCATCCTGACTGCCACCTCCTAGAAGTTTTCCTGCAATCATTTGTTCATGTTGGCCTCCATGACCAGACAGTGAGCTCCATGACACAGGGGGCCGTGTCTAGTTGGCTCAACACAGAGCCCCTCAGAAGTGAGTTTTATTCTTAATCCCATTTACAGATGTGCAAACTGAGGCACAGAGAGAAAACCTGGGGCCAAGCTCATAGCTAGGAAGTGGCATGCACCAGTGTATGCTCTCTACCTGTGGGAAGAGAAAGGGCACAACACACACATTTCTAAGGCTTCAGTCACCT